GAGGGGCTTGAGCAGGAATGCTTTGTACATGGAAGCGTAACAGTAAGTCTTGGTCAGGAGTGATGCAAGCAGAAGCTCGTTTCATGGGCTTAGAGTAGAATTCTTGGGTCTGAGCAAGGAAGTCTTGAGTTCGTGGAACCTGAGCAGGAAGTCTCGAGTGATGAAAACTTGAGCATAAGTCTTCGTCCTTGGGTCGGAGCAATTGTAAAGACTTATGCAGAATGCATAAGCAATTGTAATCATGATTTAGTTATAGTGAAAATATCATGTGAAGCAAGGGGACTGAACTACTCTCAGTTAAAGAAGGAACCAGTATAAACTTTTGTGTCTTCCGCTATTATTTATTTGGTTCTATTAACATTCTGCTGCTAAGAATTAACCAGAATCTGAACACCAGTTTAGATTCTGAACTCTGATCAAATGCAAACTAAAAAAACGAAAAACACAATTGAATCCCCCTTCTTGTGTACTTTTTTCACCTTCAATTGGTATCAGAGCATGGTTTATGAATAAAACTTAACTGTGGTGTAGATAATGATCCAATAAGAAAAATATGTCTGTCAAAGACTTTCCTTCAAGAAGGAATCAAGTTCCACATGAAAAATATTATATTGTTTTCCTACCATATTCAAAGGGCGATTCCTCTAAATTTAAATGATGGAAAATTAAAACGTATTTTTAACTCATTGGTCTTGATAAAGGGGGTTCTGAAAGTCTATAGAAGATCCTTGAAAAAGGTATTACTATAGAAGTTGATGGTATAGAGATAATCTATTTGAAAGTCTCTATCATCAGCTCAGAAAAAGCTTATTGAATAGTTTCAGAGGTAGTTACATTCTGGTAGGTGCTCTATCTCACTTCTGAGTATGTCAACATCATTGATATATCTGATGCTCGAATTATATTTGAATTCTTGTGCTCAAATTTGTGGGAGTCAGTTTTTAAAGCTTGTCTAGTTACACTTTATCTGATTTTTCAAGCAAATTCTGAGAGGATTGGTTTAGATTTAAATCTGAGATCACAGTTATTCAAGGAGTTATACAATTTAAATTTATTGTGGCCTGTTGGTTTGTCTTGCAAATCTTTGAAGAATAGAAATAAAATTACATGATGAAAATCTATCTAAAATATCACCTTCCCTAAAGCTTGGTTCTTTGAAGTGTCTGATGATAAGGAACTTATATTTCTTGTCAGAAGTACTTCTTAATCAGCTGGATAGGTTGTAGTATCTGTTGATAGAATAGTAACTTCAGAAGATTTTAAAATACTTATATTTCAAATGATTCGAGGTCTGCAAGGATCTTTCTCGACATCTAGTGATCTAAAACCATTGGAGTAGACAACATGTGATATTTGTCCATATAAAAGCATTTTAACACTTTTTCTATACAGCCTTCTTGATGTACATATATTCCTTTGGCCAAATGCTCAATTTGTAAACCTAGACATAATTTTGTTTTTCCTAAGTCCTTCATCTCAAACTCTTTCTTTAAACAATTCAAAGCTTTTGGAAGCTTTTTCAGGAGTCCCAATAATATTTATGTCATCCACATAAACATCTATTATTGCAAATTCTTTTCCTGATCTTTTTATAGAAATACAAGGACAAATGGAGTTATTTGTATATCTATTTCTAAGCAAATATTCACTAAGATGATTATACCACATGCGTCTAGATTGTTTCAGCCCATATAGAGACTTGTTCAATTTTATGGAGTAGCTTTCTCGAGATCTGGAATTATGTGCATTTGGTATACTGAAACCTTCAGGGAGTTTCATGTAAATTTTCATACAAATAAGCTATTACAACATCCATCATGTGCAAATTAAGCTCTTCATATGCTACAAGATTTATTAAATATTGAAAAATGCTTGCATTCATACCGGTTAATATGTCTCATCAAAATCAATTATAGGTATTTGTGAAAAACCTTGAGCAACAAGTTGAGCTTTGTATCTCACAATTTCATTATTTTCGTTTCGTTTTCGCACGAAAACCCATTTCTATCCAACTGGCTTCGCACCTTGAGGTGTTCATACTACAAGTCCAAAAACTTGTCTTTTGTAGAGTGAGTTTAGCTCTGCTTCAATTGCATCTTTCCATTTAGGTCAATCCTCACTTTTAAAATAATGCAAACGTAAACGCATCCAATCATATCGAGCTTTTGGTAGGGTAACCATTTTTTGATGATCATATCTATCTTTAAAATTTTCCCACAGAACATGTGGGTCGGTTACAATATGATATTCAGTTTTAAGATCCTCATGAAAGTGACAATGAAGGAACATCATGGATTTTACCTTTTATTGATCAAATGATGTATTTGCTTCTTTAAGAGTGTTGCTATAACTTTCTTTATAAAATGAATGTATGAAAACACTTTTCGTTGAATCTATAAAAAAATTTAAAAATTATAACATACCATTATACATAATCAATCAATAGATTCATAAATCACTAACCAACATATATATATATATATATATATATATATATATATATATATATATATATATATATATATATATATATATATATATATATATATATATATATATAAACAATTCATAAATTTCATAACTCTATATTTAGACACAAATTTGAATCATTAATGCTAATTATTTATTTTCTATACTCTTTATTCTTTTCAGACAATGGTTAATACACAAATCTCAATATTCTAAAATAATACAATACTAAACAGGAAAAGTCTTAAAATTATCTACTTAAAAAAAAATATTAAATTAGTGATAATATACATCCTTCATTTTCCTTTTAATTGTTATCTAATCTAAAATCTAAATTGCTAACTTGATAAAAATCACGAAACAATACTACTTCAAACAAATTTCATTCTTTTGACACAATGATAAATATAAAGATTTGTAAATTTCAATATTTTAAAATAACAACCATACACTCCCATAAATACTTTAACAAAAAAAAATTTCAACTTCCTTCCTTATGAGAAACAAAATTTCCCCCCTCCATCTTAAACAAAATGTCACATAGAGCATTACAAATTTTTCAACAACTATACAATATTATTTTGTTATTTTTTATAGATGTTTTATAAGTTCTTCAAAAATTCAAAATGTTTTATAAGTTTTTTAGAAATTATATAATATTTTTGTTATATGTTTGATAAGTTCTTCAAGAACGAAGAACTTATATAAATATTAAATATTCTTTTGCTATCCTTTTTCTGATCAATATATTATAAATAACAGGTAAAAAATCTTTTTCATTGGAGCAAGCTGGTTGTTTCCCTCTTTGACGATTAGGAAGTGGAAGTCTTTAGAGTTTGGTGTCTTTTGTAGTTTTTGTTTTATCCGGTGACTAAGTATGTGGTTCACAAAACTCAAATCTAATTATACTTTAAATTATGGGCGTTTATGGTTTATAAACTGCACTAAATCGAATTAAATTTATAGTTCAATTCAATTTACAACAACCATTTTAATAAAAATATAGTTAATTATTAAAATAATTTCAATTCAGTTTAAAATTAATTTAAAATCAATTTATGTTTATAAACTAGTTTATAATCAATTTGCAATTATAAACCAAATTTAAAATTTGAACTCTTTTAAAACCAATTTTTTTAATTTGATAAAAAAATTAATTAAAAAATATTTTAATAATATTTAAAAAAAATAATGTTTTTTTTATTTTAAAAAAATTGAATTTTTTATTTTTCTGATAAAAAAAAGTCTTTTGAAATAATTTTAATTTTGGAGAGTGCAATGAAAAGTTAGAGAGGATTTTAGCTAGTCACTTGGTTTTAGAAATTCCCAAATTCCAATATGCATAATTTTCTAGCTCATAGTCATACCTTTAAATATAATTTAAAAAATAATTATATTTGACATTTTAAATAGTATATTTTTTAAAAATAATATATTAAAATAAAATAAAAGTAATCATATTAAATTTAACTTTATTCAAAATCTACTAATTCAAAACCTACATAACTTTCTAGAGATATCTTTGAAAGTCTAATTCAACAACTATTAAATTGAAGATTAAATTTGTCTAAGATTTGAAGTAAATATTTAAATCTAATCTTAAAGACAATATAATTCTTCTCATATGTAATCGAGTTGACTCATGAACTTAACGAATTGAACTATGTATAGTTCAAGTTCAATTCATTTAGTTAACGAATTTATTTTTTCGCTCATACTCAACTCATTTGGTTTATGAACCTAGTTCAACGATTTAATTATCGAATCGAATTCCAAATTACTTTTGAGTTAGTTCGGTTCATTGTCAACCCTAATTTGTGGTTTAATGAAATTTTTACTATTTCAAAAGAAAAATGTTATTTTTACACTTATTATAACAACTACATCGTAATACTATAAGGTTTTACCTTTCTAAAATATTTAATTATTATATTTTTCAGAAAATATCATAGTGCCATGTTATACCGTGTAACGTGTAAAGCTATGGTGTAAGATTTTTAGGCTAAACATAGCAACTCTCATTTCAAAAATAAAATAATAGGTAGAATATATTATAAAAAGAAGAAGAAATAATGTTATCATACAAACCAAAAGATCTTTTTAAAATTTGAAGCTTCGTGTTATAAAATAAAGAGAAAAGATAAATGTTTAGAGAGAAAGAGAAGAATTGTTCGTTTTTTTATTTCATTTTGTCTCTGCAATAAAATTGATCATATTTATAAGACATCGAATAGATAATATAATAAATTACAAATTATTATAAAATAATTAAGAAATACAGTTATTTGAAAACATTCATTATTCATAAAAAATATAATAATATTATAGATAATGATCCATTATTCATTATAATACATTTGAATTATGAGACATAAACATATCTTAAACAATCTGAAACTTACTTTTCAGTCACACATATGAGCCGTGTAATAAACATTGTTAATTATGAAACTAGCTATATATGGTGAGCATGTGATCATAGAAATGAAGCAAAAGAAAAATAGGGTGAGGGAGTACACAATAGTCCAAACTCACTTTTCAACCACACATGCATGCATGCGTTCTCCAACCCAATCCAAAAAACTCCTTACATTCTTATGCGAAGAGCCACCTTCTTTGACCGCCTCTCTAGCCAATCTCTTCCATTTCTCTGCATTCCTTCTCAATTCTTTTCCTTTCTCTCCACTCCCCATCACCACTTCCAAACACCTCCTAATACCATCCCCTCCCACAACTCCATCCACCTTCACTTCATGATCCACCCTCACCCCTGTCTTCCACACATCTTCAACCAACTTTGCATTTGTCATCTGATCTGTCCACTGAGGAAACGCCACCATAGGAACCCCTGACACCAAGCTCTCCAGACTCGAATTCCAACCACAGTGAGTCAAAAAACAACCCAATGAAGGATGTGAAAGAACCTCCACTTGTGAACACCATTTCACTATCTTCCCTTTCTCTTCCAACTCCTCTCTACAACTCAACTCTTCCTCCTTCTCTCCTTCTTTCCCCTCCCTAATCACCCACAAGAATGGAAATCCGCAATCCAACAAAGCACGTGCAATTTCCTCCGTTTGTTTCTTTGATAACACACTCATACTACCAAACGAAACATAAACAACCGATTTCTCTGTCTCAGAGTCCAACCATTCAACATAATCGTTTGAAGGTTGGAAGATATGAGTCTGACCTCCAAATGAAGTATTAGCCGTTGGATCTTTCTCATCTAAAAATGCAGAAGGAATCAACGGTCCGATGGAAATCATATTTAAATGATCGACGGCTCTCAGTGCATCTGGTTCCAAAGCTTCAAAGGAATTAACAAGTATCGTTATAGGGTTTGTTTCAATATCAAGCTCCTTGAACTGTTGCTCAAATAATGAAAGCATCAAAGTCTGAGCACTGGGACATGACTCCAACAGAAACGAAGGTAAATCACGTGATGAAAGCAACAGTGGCAATCCTGGTAATTCAATGGAACGTGAGGGGTTTTTGATGGAATCCGAGAAACCGTGAAAGTAGTAATATAAGATGTCGAACACGGTGGCTGGCTGAACCCAGAGCAGAGCCGTTGGGAGGTGAAACCCACGCGCGGCTTGTGCGACCCATTCAAGGAGAAGGGAGTGAACTAAGCAAGTGAAAGGAGTACCTTGTTGTGAGTTAGAGAGTAAGGTATTTGCGACAAACTCAGAGCCGCGGCGTTTGAACTCTGCGTGGAAGAGTAAGTAATCTTCGGTTGTTGTGCCTTTAAAGCCGTCGTCGTAACCGTCGGAGAAAGGGAGGTAAGAGAGGTTAGGGAAGGTAGGTTTGTTAGTGATACGGTTGTGCATGTGTGTGGTGGTAGAGATAGTAACGTGTGCACCTAAAGTGATGAGTCGTTTTGCGAGTTCGAAGGCTGGGTTGAGGTGGCCTTGTATAGGGAATGGCACGAGGAGGATACGGTGGCGGTGGGGAGGCATGGTGGTTGGTTGTGGTGGCGCGTGAATGATTGAAGTATTGATTGCAATATGACTGAGTGGCTCCTTAACGGAAGAAACAGATTAGTAGACGAAAAGTTGTTTTGCATGTGTCAGTATATAATTTGTGAAAATTTATAGAAGATTGGGCAAATTCTGTTTATAAGTTTGTAGAACGGACCTTTGAGTTTCATTGGATAAGACCAACTCCAATGGGAGTTCTTAGAATGGGTTTGCCAACATGGCACTCATATTTGTTGTTTTCAAGATGAAAAAGTTCTTAAATATGCAACGGTTCTTCAATGGTTCTTATATTAAAATATTAATTTTATAATATAAAAACTATAATTTGATATAAAATTTTATTTATTATTTTAATTATCATTTTAATTAAAATTTAAATATTTAAATTATAATTTTAAATAAAATAAATTTAATATAAATAATATTTTTTAAGTAAAGTGGTGGGACCCAATATGGATTCTTTAGAGTTGCACCATTGAAGTGAAAATTGAATGAGTTGCTTTAAAAGAGTGGGTCCCACAAAAAACCTAAAAATGGGTTGCACCATTAGAGATGCTCTAAGACTCTTGCAATAAACAAAATACTTATTTTAAAACAAATTAGTATAAAAGTCAGTTACGCTTTTGCTTGTGACGTTTGAGGTGAAGAAAATTGAGGTGGGCTAATTTGCATTCACATCTTTATCAGCTTATCTTTCATATAATTTTCATCATCTAGTGTACATAATAGACTAATTGATGGCATTATAAACTGATGTGCAAAAATAACTTGAAAACAACTCGAAAAGTAAATCAACAAACCCATAAAAATAAGGAAAAACTCCGCTAAACGGATCAATCAACCCAATTATTTTAAAGCGTTGCGCACACAAGACCTTGAGATAGAGCAAGTTAAAGGAAAGAAAGCACAATTACATGCACAAAGCACAAACTAAAAGATGACAAATGATGACAAATGAGTATCCAACACCCCTTAGATCCCAAGCCGCTTGAGCGGGTCACACTCCTATCTAAACACATAAACTACAAAGTCTGAAGGGTGGGCATGAATCCACCTCCACACCAAGATAATAATAGAGGATAACTAGTGAGTAATTAACAAGTTTTCCCAATTAAAAATAAATATTTCGTAATTTTCAAATAATACATACTATATAATGTCAGATCGCGTAAGACTAGGGATATAAATGAATATCAATGGCTACGAATACTATGATATATGTATCCATCCCATTAGATAAATGTAATATTCATATCCGCCTCATATTCATACAGATATCCGTTAAGTGAGTAATCTGCAGGTTTTACGGTATCCACGAATATTTAATGATATCCATAGATAATATTTTTTTTATATAAATTATATATATATATATATATATATATATATATATATATATATATATATATATATATATATATATATATATATATATATATATATATATATATATATATATATATATATATATATATATATATATATATATATATATATATATATATATATATATATATATATATATATATATATATATATATATATATATATATATATATATATATATATATATATATATAAACCCACAAAATTATTATCACATAAAATACATATAATTCGCTCTTAATATGATAATAAAATTTCATCACATTTGTTCTGGCCTGGGCCCCGGCTTGACCAGGCAGACCGAGCCCAATAATATCCTGCCAAGTCCAGTCCAACTTGGGCCACAACCTTCGAGCACAAGGTCTCCGGCGGACAGGTAACGCCCCTCCGCGGGCAGAACCTGCCTCATCTGTGTCGAGCACAAGACACTCCCGTCGACCAGACACTGCCCCGTCGGGAAGAACCTACCCCTCCGCAGGCAGAACCTGCTCCCTGTCGGGCAGGACAACGTGTCCTTCACACGTTCTCCACGTGCTCCCCTCCGCGGGTACACGTCACCGACCAACTGCCCACCTCCGAAAGAGCAGGTCAAATCCACTTTCCGGAGATCACGGGACAGTTGAACTAGGGCGAAGACCACGTTCTGGTCTTCACTACGCCACGTAAGCCCTAGCAGTCACCTGGGTTGGGCCTGGCAATGCAGCCCAACACAAGTGATTGTTGGCCCAACGCTGAAGTCTCTCTATAAATACCCTCTTCCACAAGAGGGTCAGGTAATTTACTTCTTACCCCTTTTCTGTATTTGCTCTCGCTCCGCCCAATTCCTTACTTTGTCATCAGAGTGTCTTGCAGGTACACCCCCTCCTCCTCTTCAACATCGGCGAGCAGACAGCAAGTCGAAGACACGTGGCTTCCAGTGATCCCTTTCTGATCAGGTCAGATCAGTGGCGCCGTCTGTGGGAAATCTAAAACTTCCCGTTCCTCCGAGCAGAGAACCAAAGTTTTCACCAACATTCTGCGATCATGGCTAGCCCACACCACGACGATGTCGTTCACAACTTCACCCTCGCCCCTGCCGCGAACGGCGGCAAGCAAACGAAGACGTCCCAATCTTAGAGGTCGGCGAGAGGGATGACCAGATTGCCTCTCCTTCATCCGCGGAAGTTGTACACCAGGCTGTCCTCCGACCAAGGAGCCCAACAGTATTCCAACCCATCCCTGTTCCGGCCGGAGCGGACCCGACAGTGGTCGCCCTCTTCGCGACCATTAACCAAACAAGTCAGCTGTTGTTCCAACAGAACGCACGAATTGACGCACTAGAGCACGAGGTCCCGCCAAGGTCCCCTCCGCGGGAAGACCGGAACGACAACTCGATGAGTCAATCGCCTCGTCCCAGGAATCGACGACCCCGGCTGGAGAGGCCCCAACCCGAAGTAGTGCGGGAGTGGACTAGGTCCCCGATGATACAAGTCCGGGAGCGACGGCCAACCAGAGGGGATCCCCCGACCAGACCTCCGAGGGTCGAACCCCCAGTTAGGAGGCCGAGGGCGCAAAATCAAGCACCTCCACCACCGGGGCCGTCACCCCCTCGATCACCAACCCTCAGTGACGAGGACGACTACAAGACCCCCTTATCCCGAGAGATCATGGTTGCTCTCATCCCCCACGGGATGGAAAAACCCTGGGCACTCTCGACGTACGATGGTACCTCCGACCCGGACGAACACCTGAAAGACATCGAGGTCATGCTCGACTACCGAAACGTCCGAGGAGTCATCAAATGCAGACTATTCCCGACAACACTGAGGAAAGGTGCCATGACATGGTACAAAAGCCTGGAGCCAGAATCAGTCATGTCGTGGAGGGTCTTGAAGGACCTCTTTTCGAGACACTTCACGGCATCCCGGCACCATCCGAAGACGGAAGCCGCACTGGGCGCCATAATCCAAGCTCCCGACGAGCCCCTCCGGAAGTACATCAAAAGATTCACACGGGAGGCAGTACAGGTAACGACGTCAGACGAGATGAAGCGTTACTTGATGGAGCAAGGGCTGCACCGAGACTCCAAGTTCTACGAAGTTGTGGCCATACACCGATCAGCCTCTTTACAAGACTTCCTCGACAGAGCCGCGCATTACATCTGATTCGAGGAGACTCAAGCGGCCAACTCGGCCCGGGACACACGAGACCGAGAGACCCCTCGCGGGCACCGAGATGACGGAGCCTTAAGCCACTGGCGCAGAGGAGATCGTCGACGGGAGGATCCTCCCTGCGAACAATGCAAGCCTCGCGACCCAGCCGACTGGTTCACGGAGTATACAACCCTAGTCGCTTCCCGCGAGCGCATACTGACCGAATGCGCCAAAATGGAGTTTGTCCATAGAGGTGCCCGCTTCCCCAGGCCGACGCCCCCCAAGCCCAACGTGGACAAATCAAAGTTCTCTCGCTTCCATAGAAGCCACAGGCACGTTACAGAAGACTGCATCCACCTCAAGGACGCGATTGAAATCCTGATCAAGGATGTCCACCTGAAGAGGTACACCCGGGGAGGAGAAACCCCGAGACAAGAGGTCCCCGAGGCCAAGAGAGTCGAATACCTCCCCTCTTCGGACGGTGACAGCGGTGTGCAGGATTGGTTCGCGAACAGAGAGTTCGGCCCCGAAGGACCTGATCTTCCCACGAGCCTGTGCGCCCCACCAGTCGATGGGAATATTTTCCGAGGGCCATGGTCATCTCCGACGGATCCCTGAGGAACCTATCTGTGGGATCGGTAAAGAGAAAGTTCGAGGAACTCATCACCAGCAACTCCGGCAAAATGAGCATCCTCGACAAATTTCGTGGCCAATCCAACCCGATCATCTTCTACCTCGAGGAACTCCTCGGGGGCTCCCCCAACTCAAATATCCCCTACTGATACGGGCACAGATGGAAAACTTCGACGTCAGACGCATCCTGGTCGACGGCAGAAGCTCGGTGGATATCATGTACACCCACCTTTTTACGACTCTCAAACTCAACGAATCCAACATGTCCCCTTACGTGGGCTTTGACCTCCAAGGATTCAACGGGACAACAACGAGACCGTGGGGGTACGTGGAGTTAAAAGTCACATTCGGGGAGAAGGAAACGACCAGGGAGGTCAATATCCGCTTCCTGGTCATCGAATGCCCATCCCTCTACAACTGTATCCTGGGCAGGACGACGATGGCAGAACTCACCGCGGTGCCCTCCACCGTCCACCTAAAGATGAAATACTACACAAGGCGGGGGGCTGTGGTCACCCTAAATGGCGACATCGAGGTTGCCCGGAGATGCTTCGAGGCCGCGCTGAAAGGCCTAAGTACCATCGCCCCTGACAACTAAAAAAGTAGCGCCCACCGCGACGCCGAATAGCGAACCCAAGGAGCTCGTCGGCTCATAAGATCTCTACACCCGCTTCACTTAAGAGCCCTACCATGAAGAGGAAGCCAGTGACGCTCTCTCGTCCAATGGGCATCCCGCCCATCCAGCACGCCCCATCTCAGACGGTGACTTCGAGATTGTGACCGTCGGGGACGACGAGGATAGAACCGTGAGGATCGGAGCAGGACTCC